TTGAGATGGAATATATCGATCGACTCCTTCTGGTACCTCCCCCACAAATGGTCGAAATTTTCAAAAAAAAAAAAAAAATTCTGCACAGAAAGAGAATCGATAATTCGAATTTGGGCTAACTATGCTAATCCTAATATTTACGTGAGTTCTAGGTCAAGATGGGATGTATCGGACCACTCCTTCTGGTACCTCCCCCACAAAGGATCATAAAACGCTAAATTAACATCCGATTCCACTCAGACTTGGTGCATCTCAATATTTTCATCAACACAAGATCTGCTATAAAGGTACCATTTCTTCTGGTACCTCCCCACATAGGGTTCAAGATTTTAGAAAACAAAACGCTCTAGGGATTCGAAGAAAACATCCCAATGCATCCATCCACATCCTTAAATTTCCCACATACAAACATTCACAATTTCCAATACTTATAACTGTCCTAACTTGCGAAACAAGTCGGCGATTCTTTACAACTTGCTATATCTAAATATTTTTCTTAACCAGCATTCTGATATGAATATGTAATTTGTCGGAATTTATGATTTCGCATTAAATTGGATACGGATGTTCGATTTCCTTCAAATTTTTCACATACCAATATTTTTTATCTGTATTAGATGAAGTATGAAAATGGAATACTTCGGTCTGCTATATCTGTTACCTGGCGCATATTGCCATTTTCCGAAAATTTGCACATATCTCATATTAAGTACAAGAAGTAGTCGATATTGTCCAAATCTGTCACGTTCATAACTCAAGGCTGGGGGTATACATCTGTCGGCAAAACCGACTGATACTATTTTACTTGTTTTAACAGCTGTTGGAAATGACAGCAGTCTGAAGTTGGTTGCATTTTTTCATCCCACCCTGTAGTTCCCAAAGTTAAGATTCGCATTCAAATAAGGTTCATAGTTGGTATCATGGTACAACAAAAAAGAAAGGTAGAGCTAAAAGCTGAGCTTTTTCTAAGTATGCCTGACTTCTGCCAATTTTGTGTATGCATTTATTGTTTTGAAAAATGGACTTTGCGGACGCGCATTAAAGCTTCTTGCCAGTTTTGCACTTTTTTTAAAGATCAAACTGTTTATATCATATTTTTGAAAGAAAATCCAGAAGTTTAATTTATTTTTCGCTATTTAACTCATTTTAAAAATGAGGAAAAATATCGAATAAACGAAAAAAACTTGTTCCATGCAAATTTGGCAGGAAGCTGGTAATCTACAGTCGCTACAGTCAAAACGAATTAAGATAGAAAGCTACAATTTTGCACAGATCCCTCTTTTGTCTGCAGTATATAGTATTTGTATAGCCCACATATAACGGTACCCCCAAATATCCGGTATTTTGATGATTTTAGCCACATCTTCCAATGGAATAGTCTGAAAATCCACGAGGAGTTCTCTATGAGCACTTTACCCCCTGAAAGAGAATTGTCTATATAGGTCCACGATATCGTATAGCCCCATATAACGGTACCTCCCGATATTCGGTATTTTGACAATTTTAGCCACATTTTCCAGTGGAATTATCTGAAAATCCTCACAAGGAGTTCCTTGTGAGTGCTTTACGCCTAGACATAGATTTGTCTATATAGGTCCACAAAATCGTATATCCCCCCATATATCGGCACCATCCGATATTAGGTATTTTAAAGATTTAAACAGAATTTTTAATGGATTTGTCCTAATTAGTTTCAAATGGTGGAGGGTATTTAAAGTTCGGTCCGGCCGAACTTATAGCTTTTTTACTTGTTATACATCGGAAAGATGCAATAACTGGCCTGAATATATCTTCTAAGCTATGATGAAGAATAGGGAGATTCATCAACATTTAATAACTGGTTCATGTCTAAGAAACTTCGTTTAAGAGACTCGGTAAGAGCATTATGGTATTAATGTGAAGAGAAATATTGAAGCAAATCATGTACAAAAGCTTTTTGTGTGTGAAACATTTTAGAAGCTATAACATTTACCATTCTGTAAGCTTTGTTTGTTATCAGTTTGCAGAACTACTGGCCACAAAAGAGGAACCGAAAAGCAACAATATATTCAATATTTATTTTGACAGTGCAAGATGTTGCCATAAAATAAATTTAATTTCTAACTACAGATCGTTTACATGCGATTTTTCATACATTTTATTTTACGAATATATTTTCAAGACTACGACATATGTGAAAATAAATATATTGAAGAAATGGATAACGTCTTATTTTTTAGTATTTACCAGCTAATTGTTTATATTTTATATTTTTTCCAACTTTGTATAATATTGTTCTCTTGATAATATATAATATTATAAGTAGGCAGTAAAATTTAATGTGAGAAATAAATATTATTTTTATTTGACAAAATACATATTGACAGAAAAGTTAAAAAAATTTTGAATAAAAATGTTTTTATAATTTCGATAAATTTTTGGACGATTTGGATAACCATCATGAATTAATGGTTGCAACTGCTAAATAATGAATAAACCAATAGGCCAGATGGCATGAGGATCTTAATAGGTGAGTCCAATTGATACGTAGAATTATGAAGCTTTATAAAATTAAAAAGCAATACAATTTACGAAATGGTAACGAGAAAATATTTTGTTGTAGCTACATCAGACCGTAGTTAGGAGGGTGGTGCCTTTGAGACTTGGTATGAGATAGTTAATTTTGATAATTTACATTCAATTTCCTTCTAAGATGACTTAAGGATGTCTTCCTGTACGTTTGCTGATGAATTGTTGGAAACCAGTTTTGAAATAAAGGTTGTTGTTCGTATGGTCAGTATCCGCTAGCTTTGGTCCGTCTGTTATCATGATTTAAGATATTTTGTAAAATGTTAACGCTTTGTGGAGGAAGAAGTTCATGGTGAGTCAGGAGATCGATTTCAGTTTTGAAATCAATTTTACTTCATTGCTGCATCAAACGACGTATTAGGTCGATTCCAATATAACAGTGTGAAAAGTTAGGAAAATACTACACTTAATTCGAAATATTTTAATTGTAATTCGAAACATTTTAATTGTAATTTGAGAATTCTATTTGTAATTCAAAAATCTCAATAGTAATTCGAATTGATTCAATTGAAATTCTAATTGTGATACGAATTATTTAAGTTGTAATTGGAGAATTCCAATTGTAGTTCGAATTATTCAAATTGTAACTCCAATTCTAATTCTAATTGTAATTCGAATGATTCAAATTGTAATTCAAATGGAATAATTTGAATTACAAATGGAAAATGCGAAATTGAATTGAAAAAATCGAATTACAATTGGAATAACCGAATTACATCTGAAATAATTCGAATTACAAATGGAATTCTCCAATTAAAAATGAAATGTTACGAATTAAATAAAAAATTATTCGAATTCACCTTTAATTCGAAAAAGGTGTAGTTTAAACGGCGTGAACTTCAGCCTGTGCATACTTGATTTGTGACCAAATGGACTGTTCTCAAAATCCCTAAAATCTCCCAAAGTTTTTTTTACCTCAGATATATGACTAGAGAGAGTATATACTATTTGATACGACCAAAACGTGCCTCATCGAAATAACGCTTCTACATCCTAGATTTCTTTGGACCAAATCCGCTCCGTTTCATTTGGCTGGTGCATACGTTAACTCTCGAAGGAAGTTCTCGATTTGGTCCAAACTTGGTGCATCGTATTATTATTAGATCGGGTTCGGAAATGAGCAACATCGTCCTTCTGGCAATTCCCCCACAAAAAGTCAAATTTTCACAGAGAATAATTAACCTCATAGAGTAGGGAAGAATCATCCAATTTTATGCAAACTATGTAAATTATTAAATTTGTAAAGTATTCAGAAGGACCTTCTGGGGTGGATTTTTGAGACAATTCCATTGAAAATTTTGGCTAAAATTATGAAGATACCGAATATCGGGGGTACCGTTATTTGGGGGATATACGATATCGTGGAGCTATATAAACAATTCTCTTCCAGGGGGTAAAGTACTCAGAAGCAACTCCTTATGTGGATTTTCAGACAATTCCATTGAAAAATGTCGCTAAAATCATACGGAATATCGAGGGGGACCGTTATATGGGGGCTATACGATATCGTAGACCGGTAAAGTTTATCTTCGAAGTTGACCTGCCTGCACACAAAAGACAGACCTGTGCAAATTTTAAGCTTCCTATCTAAATTAATTTTGACTCTAGCGCGATTACTACAGACGAACGGACAGGGCTAAATCGCAAAGTTGTCAACATTTTGAATAGTTATATCTCTCACAAAATACGAAATAAGAATCCAATTATCTTAAAATTTCATAAAATATCACCTCTTCTGGTACTTCCCACACGAAGGGTCACGATTTTCAATATTTATAAATCAAAAAAAAAAGGAATGTGTATAGCGACAAACATCTATGTTCATTTTCATTCATTTATCTTGAAAATTGCAACCTCAATCTTGAATTCAAAATACAGACTGTAATCGTTGAATCAACTTAGAATTTTTACTAATACACATACTTTATGGGGTCCCTGACAAACGTTATATAATATTATAATAGATGTCTCCATTCGCTTGATTTTGTACCTCCCACACGGGGGAGGTACAAAATCTAACCTATGATTCCTAGCCTAAATATTCCAAGAAAATCGATATTCTCCGAGATCAAAATGTCAAATATTAATCAGTTCGATTGCAAAATATAACGAAATTTAAATGAAACACCATTTGGCTGAAAAGAAAAAGCTCAGCACTCAACAACATCTGGCAACAACATTTATGTTCGACTCTTTGCCGGGCCAACAAAACGAAGAAGCAACAAACACAACATTCGGTTTATTTCTTTCATTGCTGTTTCGCTTCGGTTGTAGGGGTCTTCTGGCTGGTTGGTTGGCTGGCTGGCTTGCTCGCTCCCAACGTTCAGGTTGTTTGGTGGCTGTACCGCTGTTGCAGTTCATCGCTGACGAAGTCGATGTCGAAAAGAAACAACGAGGAAAAAAGAATTTAAAAGTTAAGAGCAAACGGTGCAAGCAATTAGTCGTGTACGGTACGCGCTTAAGTGAGTATTAAAATCTCGAAACAGAAGTTGGTCGTTTGATCGGACGGCAGGCGCTGTATTGAGTGTGTTTCTTGGTTTTTGGTTTTTGTAACTGTCGTTAGTTGATTTTTTTTTTACGGTGTACCCCAACACATTGGACAAGGCATTTGACGGTGGCGATAAAAATTAAATTAAATTGAAAATCAAAAAAACTAATATTTATTTTGTGTAAAAATTGAAAGATATAAAAAAGTGAGTGAGACATACATATTTTAGAAATATTCTTCAAAATAGAAGAAAAATACATAGTGGGAAACTGCATAACTTCTTGTACATGTAAGTTTGGTTGTAATTGATAATTTTGAGTGAAGGATGCCGTGAACAAAGAACAATGTTTTCTGTTTTAAATATAACCAAATTGTTTTGATGAAATTAAACGTTGTTATTTTTATCAAAATCATTTACAAGTGCACAATTTACAGATGTTTCCAATAATAATATTGATTTAAATTTATTGAAATAAAATTTCTCATTTTTGCACAAAAAAAATTGGCCGAAGGAAAAGAAAAGAATTAATTAAAAGAAATATTCAAAATTATCTTTTTATATTGTAAGGGACGCAAAATGATGTTAAATTGTGAACCACAAATTTAGAACAATCTTTAAAAAATTAATTGTTTTTAATTTAGTGTGATAAAAGGACATTCCATTTTTTCACAAACATAATGGGTGGAAATGTTTAAATTAGTAAAAGATTATGTTCTGGATCTACTTTATAATTGCTAAAAAGCACTTTCTTGTGCAGAAAAAATTAAAAACTTGGAAAGGCGAGATATGTGAATTCCATGAAAAAAAGACAGGACGAACTTTTATTTTATCGCTAATAATAAGGAGGAGTTAATAAATTATTTTAAAATCCCGAATAGTTACGAGTTATTAAAAGAGGCGAAACATATCTTCATTATTGCATTTCAAATTACGCTAACATTTCGAATATACTTAATTCTGTATATCAATTTAGTACAAGATTCTTCCTAAAAAACGCCTATTCGAGATTTTCGTCGAAGAATACCAATCTGGAAGCATTTTCATATATTTTTTTTTGCTCCCGCAATCCTCATAAAAATTTATGATATTTAAAATGTAAAATATCAAAGAATTCATAAAATTTCATAGATTATAAAATTGAATATCTAGATCAAGAACATTTTGAAATATAATTTTTAGAATCGTTTTGCCAGATGTTAAAGACTTTCCTCAAATGAGAACTTTTCTCAAAACAAGTGACATATTTTTTACATAGTTATATGTTTTAAAGCAGTACAGGTCCTAGAGTTTTTGTTGCAAAAATCGACAATATTGGTCCACTCCTTTCAGCACCTACCTCCACCACAAAACATTATAGATTTGAATAGTAAGTCTACAGATGTATACCCCCCAGCCTTGAGTTATGAACGTGACAGATTTGGACTATATCGACTACTTCTTGTACTTTATATGAGGTATGTGCACCTTTTCGGAAAATGGAAATATGCGTCAGGTAACAGATAAAATACATCATCCAGATAAAATACATCATCCAAGTCTGAATAGAATCGGATGTTAATTTTGCGTTTTAAGAGCTTCATGGATACTCAGAATTTTGACCTTTTGTGGGGGAGGTACCAGAAGGAGTGGAGCGATATATCCCACACCAGATCTTGAGTTAGTTGAAATAATGGGACGTGTGTAATATGAAGAGAACCGGATTTTTATTTCCGATTCTTTGCTCGTTTTGATTATTCAAAACTTAGATTCATTGTGTGGGAGGTACCAGAACGAATGGTCCGATCTCGAATGGTATCGATTCTCTTTCTGTGCAGAAAATATATATATTTTTTTGAAAATCTTTATTATTTGTGTGGGAGGTACCAGAAGAAGTGGACCGATATATTCCATCTTAACACCAGGCCTTGGGTTAATATAAATATTGAGATGTGTACCAGAAGGAGTTGACCGATATTGCCCATCTCCGAACTCGATCTAAGTTTGACAAAAATAAATCAAATGATATCTGTAGCCATATGGCTGAGGGTATAAAAATGTAATATTAAAGTAATTTATTGAAAATTAAGTTTGCAATAAAAGTTTTGGAAATTTTTAAACTTTTATTCGGAAGGTACTAGGAACATTGAACGGATATATTCCATTTTCACACCTTATCTGATACTGATAAAAATATTGAGTTAAGTGATAAGTTAAACGAAAATAAAACACTTATTAACCTTTTGTAGTGAACTCACATATTTCATATTTACATTAGATCTATGGCGGAATATTTTAAAATTTGAACTCATTTTGATACCCTACCCCACATAGTGGTAAGGGTATTATGTCTTTGTACATTTGTTTGTAACATGGACAAGGAAGCGAGATAGACCCATAGTTACTTTTGAGGATCTTTATAGAATCACTTTTTTAGTCAATTTAGGCATATTAGTCTGTCCATATATTTGTGAACAGCATGCAGGTCACATTTATTATCCGATTGAGATGAAATTTTCGAAACAATATTTGTTTGGGCCAGGGACGAACCCTACTGAAACTGGTGGGAATCGGTTCACATTTAGATATAGCTCCCACATATATCTTAAACAAATTTCGGGTTAATTGTACACCAAATGGCTAATATCAGTCCAAATGGCCTGAAGTTTGGCACATCCCACCAAATTTAGTCTAGAAGCAAGTACATCAAATTTGATGAAAATCGGTTAAATTTTTTGTTACGGGAGCTCTACTAAATACGCATAGTTGTGTAGGGTAGCATATGGTCAGACCCGCGCTACTTTTTACTTTCCCTGTCTTGCTTATTTTTCGAAAATTTCCTTTGTTTTATTTTTGTTACAATGACAAAAGAAATGTAAATAATTTTTCAATCGAAGATAAGTTATTGAATACCTGTGTACATTTCTGTTTGATAAAATATTGAGATAAACGAAAAAATTAAGGAAAATCATCGAGTTAGTTCACATGTTAACAGAGTTACAATTATTCAAAATTTGTACCCTTTGTGGGTAGGTACCAGAGGAAATGGTCCGCCATATCGTATTTCCACACTATATCTTGTATTGGTGGAAATATTTTACGTCCTCTATTTAAGAAAGTTGGTTTCTTGTTTTATTAAAAATTGAAAGAAGAGATTTTAAGTGAGAACAAAATCGGATACTCCCTTTGAATGTTATCGTCCACACCAGGCAGACATGCAGACAGGCAAACGACCATACGATCACCTAGATTGTCTCCAAATGTCATGATATGAAATTCATTCAAAGATACCTAAAGTCATAGCCATATAGTTGAGGGTATGGTATGGAGGTACATAGGAATACCTTTTCAAACCATTTCAGAGGAGCAAGTGGTAAGAAGGTAAATTTTCCATACAAAATTACAAAAACTGTCTGAATAGTAACCATTTCGGTACGTCCCTGACTGATATGTCAGTTTACATTTAGCTATGAACCCCCTGCCTTACCTTAATATATTCAGTACTTTGAAGGATTCGGTCCCAAATCAGGTGTAATTAGACATTTCGCGTCTCAGGTCTCTTCGAAAAAAATATTCAACTCAGCAATAATTTGATGTTTCCGGTTCTTCTTCTCTATAGATTTAGAGATTTTGACCATAGCCGAATTGGCCTTAGAATGCTACGACTTCTTCTACTCTCTTCTTTCTGAATTTTAAAACCGCTGGACACGCTCTCCTTATTGGAAAGATTTGTGTAGTAAAACCTATTCAAGGCTCCCACAACATCTCTATTGTAAATCAGTTTCTCCAACACATCGCAAAAACAAGTTAAAAAGCAGTAAGTTCGGCCGGGCCGAACTTTGAACACCCTCCACCATTTAGAACGAATTTGGAAATTTTCAAAAAATAAAATCCTCAAAATTTTCTGGTACAATTTTAAAAATAACGGAGATAGTAGTTATGTTGGAGAGTTTACGACGTGGACCTACATAGGCATTGTTTGTCATAAACCATTACCATATTCAAATTCTAAACTTGAAATAAACGGTTAATGATGTAGCTAAAATCATCAAAATATCGTATATAGGGAGGTGCCGTTATATCGGAGCTGTGCGAAGACCTGGACCTGCATAGACAAATTTCTGTCACAGGCTGTAGCATCCATTACGAACTTCAAATACGACATCTCAAATAATTTCGGTGAGTATTGTACTTAAAATCGTCAAAATACCGAATATAGGGAGGTACTGATATATGGGGCCTATCCGAAGACCTGGACAATTTTCTGTCATAGTATCCATTTCGAACTTCAAATACCGAATTTGAAACAATTCCGGTTAATAATGACACTAAGAGCATCAAAATACCGAATATCGGGAGGTACCGTTATGTGGGGGCTATATGAAAACGTGGACCTACATGGCCCATTTACGAACTTACCCTGCCTACTGGAAAAATAAACATGTGTGTAAAATTTTAGCCTTCTATCTTAATTCGTTCGAAAGATAGCGAGATTACAACAGACAGACAGACGGACATCGCTAAGTCGACTTAGAATTGTACGCTGATCAAGAATATATATACTTTGTTGGGTTTGACATGAGTATTTCGAGGAGTTACAAACAGAATGAAAAAATTAATATACCCTCCATAGTATTGTGGAATCTTTCATAGATTGGAAAATCAATTTCAGATTTCTTACAAATTTGACACATTCCAATATTTTGCCTATATTAGAACAAAAATGTGAAATCACTATCAGATTTTCCTCAAACTGAAAATACAAAAAAAAAATTAAATGCTCAAAACTATCCGAACATTCGAAAAATTTTCCACTGCCTCCTTCAAGGCTAACACATTGCAATATTTCTACTATAACCAAAGAGAGAATGAGAATATCACTTTTCTTTTACTAGCTTCAATTTGAACCGTCCTCTGTACAATCTCTTTTAAATTTTCAATTCATAAAACCATCTATATTCATAATTTGTTTTTTTTTTTACATAAATTTCAAAACTTGCGGTTTTGCCTCCTTCCCAACAACTCACGAATCTTTACAAAGTACTCGGAATGAATTTGTCAATCAGATATCAAGTTAAATCATTATTTTTTATTAAAATAAGTTTTAGGCATTTGATTGGTCACATTGGCTGGCTGGTCACTCAAATCACGCTGTTGACAGCATAACCTTAAATCAGCGTAGTTGTGATTTAAAAGTTTGTATTAAGAAGGAGTTGCAAATATTTCACTTCTCTTTCTCCAAAATTATATTTTTTTAACTTTTTTGTCTTTCCTTTTTTTTGCTGAAAATCTAAGACTCATACCCATATTCC